TATATATATATATATATATATATATATACGTTAGTTTTAACTCAAATTAAAACAAAATTAACTCATACATAATGATATGGATAGCCATATTATTTGATAAGAATTTTTTATTTTTGTTTAAATTCAAGAAACTTGGCTTATTAAGCAAATCGTGTCTTGCATGGTAGGCCGAGTAGTGCATTCTGGCTACTATGTACAACATTATATAATATATATATATATATATATATATATATATATATATATATATATATATATATATATATATATATATATATAAATGTTTATGATCGATGTTCCCTTCGGGAATCTTAATTTTAAGATGAATAGGAAAACCAGGGATATACTGAACATCTTGTTTCAGATTCTTTACTTTAAAATGCATAACGTTTCGAATACTTCTCGTATTCATCATCAGATCTAAAAGAAAAAACAGAAATCACAATCAAATAACTCCAGTTATTTGATTGTGATTTCTGTTTTTTCTTTTAGATCTGATGATGAATACGAGAAGTATTCGAAACGTTATGCATTTTAAAGTAAAGAATCTGAAACAAGATATTCAGTATATCCCTGGTTTTCCTATTCATCTTAATATATATATATATATATATATATATATATATATATATATATATAAGTGTGAAATCATCTCATCTAGCCAACCAACCATAGATGCAGTGCGAACCATATTGCCAGGAGCCCAAGTGATCGCTCCCACCGACAGTGTGCTGCTAGGGGCTCCTCTGGGCTCGAGCGCCATTGAGGTAGTCCTCGAAGAAAAGCTGAACGACCTGAGGAGGATGGAGGGAAGAATAGGGGCTTTAGACGCCCACGATGCTCTGTACCTTCTCACAAGGTGCCTGGCTTTGCCCAGACTGACCTATTTCCTAAGGTGTGCTCCCTCCTTCGACAGCCCAAAATTAACGGAATATGACACACTCCTAAGGTCAATAACCTTGAAAATGTTAAACCTCTCCCTGCAAGATGACCAATGGGACCAAGCAACGCTCCCAGTTAGACTCGGGGGGATAGGTATTCGCAAGGCGACACAGTTAGCATTGCCGGCATTCTTATCCTCGACCAGTGCAACAGGTGAATTAGTTAAGGAAATACTACCGGAATACCTAAGAGACTCCATTGGGATTCATGATCCCAAATTCGCGGAAGGAGCCGGTCAGTGGGACACTCTTGTCAACTCTCACCCTCGACCAACTTTTCCAAACGACGGCAAACAGTCCAAATGGGATAGCCCCATAGTGGAGAACATCGCCACATCATTGCTGGAGGCAGCTTCCAGGAAGGACAAAGCGCGTCTTCTAGCTGTGCAAGCGCCCCATGCCGGGGACTTCCTGTTGGCAGTCCCTAATTCCGCCTTGGGCACCCGCCTGGACCATCGGACCCTAAGTATTGGTGTTGCCCTGCGCCTTGCCGCCCCTATCTCCACCGAGCACCGGTGTATTTGCGGCCATGCACGGGCAGACCAATACGGCAGCCAAAGTCTCATCTGTCGTAAGACACAGGGAAAGATTGCCAGACATGAAGCAGTCAATGACATCATCAAGAGAAGTTTGGCTTCAGCTGGGTGCCCAGCACAAAGGGAACCTCAGTTGTGCAGGCCTGACAACAGCCAAAAACGCCCAGATGGAGTCACCCTGCAGCCGTGGAGGGAAGGTAAACAGGTCGTGTGGGACTACACGTGTGCATCCACATTGGCTGATACCTATCTATCTTACAGCGCAGCTGAGGGAGGCGGGGCGGCCACCTTCAGGGAGACCCAGAAAACCAACAAGTACAGGGACCTAGAACGTTGTTACAGGTTCGTGCCGATAGGCTCTAAGACTCTGGGCGCCTGGGGTAAATGTGCACTTAAGTTCCTGAAGGAGCTGGGCGAGGAACTCATTGGGAAGACTAGAGACCCAAGAGCGGCCAGTTTCGTGTTCCAGCGCCTCAGTGTCGCTGTTCAGAGGGGAAATGCGTGCTGTATCTTGGGTACGCACCCGACCCCCGAGGAGCTGGACGAGGTCTTCGAACACTGATTGGTATATTGTTATATAAGTGTGTTTTCTGTAAACTGTAGCATTGTAATAAAATCAAATAAAAAAAAAAACAGGGGTGGTAGGAGAGGAAAAAGATTAAAGTATTCAGTGAGAATCCACAAGGTCTTCTCTGAACACTATTTGTTTTCTTCTTCGAGGATGTGGGTCCCTTTAATTAAACCAGTGGTGGTACCCCTATTATATATATATATATATATAATAGGGGTACCACCCCTATAGATATATATATATATATATATATATATATATCTATCTAAGGTAATATAATCTCCAAGGTAATCTCTACGAAGAGATTAGGCCTGCTCCATCATCACCTATTCTACCACACCACATCTACATATTCAAGAATTACAACAACTACATGCACTTGCAAGATGCTTGAAAGGATCATCCTAAACCGACTGTTGCACAAAATAGGCAGGTTAGGGTAGGGGGTCAATGGATTTGTTAAAGGACGGAGCACAGCAAATTGTATAGTTAATTACTTGGCTAATGACACGGCTAGGTACTCTGTATTTGTTGACATCAAAGGAGCCTTCGACAAAGCACAGGGGATTGCGATCCTGGACGAGCTTGCATGCATGGTGTCAAGGGGAGACTCATGAAATGGGTTGAAGACTACCTCACAGGAAGGAAAGCCAAGGTTTGCTTCAATGGAGTAGTCTCCAGAACAATGAATATGGAACTCGGGACCCCCTAAGGCGGAGTCTTAAGCCCTACACTATTCAATGTACTTATGAACGCCATTGCAAATATTGATTTTCCGGAAGGAACACAACAACTACTACTTCTCATACGTCTAGACAGTGTACCACCAGTCTACCTTCCCCAGGGCCCGTCAGCCCCTCGCACCTGGTGGTTGGGAGCTCATGCCACCAGTCAGGAACAAGCGCAATGGTAGTTTGTGTGAGCCGGCTCCCAGTTATCGAAGACACCAGCGCCACCCACCTTGGCCCTACCTAGCCACCACCAAGATTCAGAATGCTCTCTCGTGCTCAACTGCCTGGATCTACTAGCATACGACTCTGTGTGGCAGTAGACTCCTGCAGCCTGGCTACAGTATTCCTGCACTATTTTATTGTTTGTACTTTAACGTAACGTTAATTCGTCTATTTGTTTTTTGTATTTTGTTCACTGTAAGTAAGCCAAGGTTCGAACCTATTTTTATTTATGTAAATTGTTTAAAGTAATTTTTCATAGTAAAATATTTAATTTTTTCTCTGTTTTATCCTGCAGTTACCTCAGTGTGAAGTCAACAAGCAGTCTATTTTATTTTTACTTTTTTTTTTGTTTAATGTGACCGGAATTCCATCTACCCTTTAGACACAGCGCTAACAACCATTTTCACGTCAAAATATATAGCGCCTCAATGTGGCTATCCAGAGGGCAAACGCCTGATGTGTCCTCAGTTCCTGTCCGGAAGCTGGGAAGCTCCAAACAACCCACAACTTTTAACCTTTCACTGTATTCACCAATGTATAATTTTGAATCTTTAAATATCTTATAAAGCAAACCTTAACACAAAAAGAATGCAGCGGTTAGACAAAAAACCTAAAGTACATTAGAGGAGATTTTTTGGTCCCCTCCAAAGTGTTATGTGTGCTTTTTTCGAAGCTATGGGCCCCTCTTCCAGCAGTAGGTGCCCCCCTTATATATACATATATGTATATATGTACACATGACAGTAGTGTATATATATATATATATATATATATATATATATATATATATATATATATATATATATATATATATATATATATATATATAATACATCCCTTAACTACTCGACTGATGATCGAGTGGTCCTGTACACCAGTTGCAGAGTGCTCCTGGCAGTATGGGTTCGAGTCACTTCTGGGGTGTGTGTTTTCAGTTGCATATATGCCTGGGGACCATTCAGGCTTGTTCGCATTTGTGTTCCTCACGTGTGCCCCAAAGAATGTGATGATCTGATAAAATACCATGCCCAAGATAACCATCAGAGTGCCGGCGGGATGATGGGGAATTAGCCTCGTTTACCATCATCTTTTGTCCGGTCGTGATGGTCTAGTGGTTAAGGGATCCTTTACACCAGTTGCAGAGTGCTCCTGGCAGCATGGGTTCGAGTCACTTCTGGGGTGGGAGTTTTCAGTTATATATATATATATATATATATATATATATATATATATATATATATATATATATATATATATATATATGTCGTACCTAGTAGTAGCCAGAACGCACTTCTCGGCTTACTATGCAAGGCTCGATTTGCCCAATTGGCAGAGTGATTTTCTTTATTTTCAAAAAAATTTTGTCAATTGGTTTATTTATATTAGGAACATAATTTATTGACTTAGTTATGTTAATTTAGGTTAGGTTACGGTAGGTTAGGTTAGGTAGGTTAGGTTCGGTCATATATCTACGTTAGTTTTAACTCAAATTTTAAACAATGAACTGATGTATAATGAAATGGATAGCTTCATCATTTCATAAGAAAAAAAATGAAAAATGTGTAAATTCAGGAAAACTTGGCTTATTAGGCAAATCGGGCGTTGCATAGTAGGCCTAGTACTGCGTTCTGGCTACTAGGTACAACATATATATATATATATATACACACACACATACATAATGTGTGTGTGTGTATGTGTATGTTATTAAAATGCTGCCGCCATTCTTGTTCTCTATGGTTTCGTTGTGAATTTGCATATCAAATGACACGTTCTTAAAATAGCATAGTGATTTATTTTTTCTTCACGGCTTAGTTAGTCCTGAAGTTTAATTACCTTCTAGGCTTCGTTGCTCCGAAACCTAAGATGCCTATGTTCCTTGCTTATGAACACATGGAACAAGAGCGAACTGAACATTGGCTTAAGAAGAGTATAATTATATCAGGTTAGCCAGAACCCTTTAAGGCCTAACGTTAGAGAAGTGAGAGGAAGTACTTACCAGAGAGAGGCCCACCATGATCCTAGCGAAGATTAGGAGAATGTAGGATACTCTGGCCAAAACTGGTTGCATGAGGGTGAAGATACTAGCGGAGAGCAGAGCACCTCCCAGTACCCTGCACGGACCCCACAGCTCCGCTAGGCGGCCGCCAGGCAATTGAGACACCACGTTGCCATAGAAGAAAGCCCCAGCTACCAACCCTTGTGTCCACTCGTCCCAGGGCAGGTTACCGTTCTGCAACAACAGTGCTCTTATCTAGGGATCCTTGTCAGAGTGCCATATGCATGTATTTTAATCACTGCACCTGGATATTGATGTAACAAATTTTAAATAACCGAGGAGAAAGAATAATGAGAAATTTGTATTTCAAACAAGGATAAAATGAATTAATTATATCTGCATAAGCAATTAAAATATGGCCTTCCTTGAAGTTTATGGGGTCACATAAGGCGTATACATATGAGTTGACCCGTAGGCTATGAAAGCTGGGAACTCACTCGCTACTAGTTAATACACATATAACCCTTCAACACTGATTTTCACAAGTGAGCCGAGACCCGAGGCTGGCAAGGATATGTTACTCCTGATCTTATACAAAGTTAACAATACACGTTTTGTATTATTGTGAAGCAAGCAAAAAATACTTGAAATATAACACTAAGCATGATTAAAACGATTACGTTTGTTTTAAGTATTAATGTTTTTTATTATAAATAACTCTCTGTTATACCAAAAGTAATTGTAATTATCAGGAGTGTCAAGCTCAGTATGATATAAAGACACTAAAGAAGATAGACAGCGTTGCCTGGGTGTATATGCTCAGGCATTCACGTGCCGAGAAAAAATATCTTACTCCTGTTGGAATAAATCGGCTGTTGGCAGAAACAACTTTGCCTTGCGGTAGGTTACCACACTGTTCAGCAGATACTTGACGCCCCCAGACAACACCCGGGACGGCAAGAGCCGGACTGCCACCCGGCATAGATAACCAACAGCAAGACTATCAACACCTAGCAACCCCAGACGAAATAAATTGCATGCATACTTTGAGGTCTGCATAATCGATCAAAAGTTCCAGCCGAAGGTCAGACACGGAAGGGCCACCCTAATATCAAACCCAGTCTTGCAAAAACATATCACCGTGTTCCAGTGGCCTTCAGCGTAGCAAGAGCAAACCGCTCACCACATTCCTCGGATACACCAGGAACCCATCAGAACCCGCCGACCTTTCTCAGCCAAAAATCTATTAACTTCCCTATGACCCCAGGCGATATGAGCCAGGCGTCATATCGGTCTGGGTTGCTGAAGGTAAGATAAAGCAATTTTCAGGAAAATTTCTAAGTATGACTTACAGTCCTGGTTGTTAAGAGGGCTTTTCCGGCGAGTCTCAGGCGGAGCAAAAAGCAGACATACAGTACGTCTAGCATAGAGGCTGAACCAGGTGTGCCTGACGGAACGATGCCCAACCACTTGGATTGGGGAACGAACGCCACCCCTATAAGAGCGAAGTCATCACAGTACTGACCAGTCAAAGCAGATTTATCCGTTCTCCCAAAGTGTACATCCAAATATTAGGAGACATAATGACATTTATATTGGCAACACAATTATTAAATATACATAAAACGCAAAAAATAATAATTAGTAAACACATTCAGTGAGACCTAAATTAATAAGATAATATTTTCTTACTATATCTCATCCCACTTTAACCTACTAGTTGGCAAGGTACCAGGGCAATAGACGCCTCGCTGTTGTCTGGGATAGGCTGGTTCCCGCAGATAAACAGACCCATATCTGTAGACAAAGCACTTACCAATAACAAAGCAGAACTATACTGAAACTGTCATTCTTGTAACCAGTTCCATCACTGATGCAAGCATCCATTCTTGCTACTTCTATCATTATTGATGCAAGCATCAGGCATCCATTCTTGCTACCTCTACCATTATTGATGCAAGCACCAGGCATCCATTCTTGCTACCTCTACCATTATTGATGCAAGCACCAGGCATCCATTCTTGCTACTTCTACCATTATTGATGCAAGCACCAGGCATCCATTCTTGCTACCTCTACCATTATTGATGCAAGCACCAGGCATCCATTCTTGCTACTTCTAACATTATTGATGCAAGCACCAGGCATCCATTCTTGCTACCTCTACCATTATTGATGCAAGCACCAGGCATCCATTCTTGCTACCTCTACCATTATTGATGCAAGCACCAGGCATCCATTCTTGTTACCACTACCATCACTGAACAAATCCACAGGAACCATGACGAGGGTTCGAACCTATGCACTGGGTGTTCCAAGATGCACGCTCTAGTCGACTACGAAAGACATGGTAAAATAATTGCAACCTGGCGTATTGCTGCACCCTCAAGGATCCCGAGGCTTCCACTGAAGCCACACCAGGGTTTCACACAATCCCCCCCATGCACTCGGGGTCTGTGATGGTAGTACACAGTGAAATCACATTATTGTGAGATATTAATGAACAAAGAGCGTTCATCTGGGAACACCCAGCGCATAGGTTCGAACCCTCATTACGGCTCCTGTGGATTTGTTCATTGATATATCACGATAATGTAATTTCTCTGTGTACTACCATCACTGATGTAAGCACCAGAGACAGCCATTCTTGCTACCACTACCCTTATTGATGCAAATACCAGAAGCAGTGATTCTTGTTACTGCTATCATTACTACTGTTACAAACATCACAAGTTATCAGTCTTGCCATCAGTGTACCTGGTAAAACAATTTTACCGCCCTTTTATCAGCCACTCTTCCTCTATTACTAGCCAATCCTTTCAGTGATGGTGATAGCTTTCTCCCCAAGGATATATGCTTCTAACCAATAACTTCCATGCCATTATAACCGTTAAGCAATCTTTCTACATATTTACCAATCATTTTACCAACACTTAATAATAGTGGTGGCAAAATTTTACTAGATTTACACCTTTTATTAGAACTTGCATATATACCCATATACCCAGTACTTGCAATTGTATTCTGCTACCAACGTTTTACACACACACTTTCATATCAAGCACCATTCAGTCAACATTAACAAAGTTTCCTTTTAACACTGATAAAGATAAACAATCAAGACTAAGATATCCTTCAACTAATTGCTTACCAAAGTAGCTAATTATCCTATAAAAACAGATATATACTGACGTAGGTGGTGTGCGATGTGGTGTCATTAGCAGGCGCTGGGCAGGTGTAGACGGATTGCAGGGAATCGTCTCCCTGGGAGGCGTTGACGGCGTCGTTGTGGGTGGAAATGTCTATGGCTGGTATGACGATCTCCTGAGGCCCCATGAGCACGTCGCCCTGGAAGCGGTTGAAGGCGTCGCTAGGTGTGTGGCTGGGTGTGTGGGTCACCGTGACAGGGTTATGTTTCACCATGGCCACCAGGGCGAAGTTGATGTTGACACGGAGGATGTAATTGAATGTGACTCCCAGGAAGGCTAGCATGCAGACGACATATCGCGCTGGCAACCATGCTGGCAGGAAGAACTGTGTTATATGGTGACCACTGCGGGGTCAGTATGTGAGAAATGGGAGAGATTTGATGAGTTGTGGCGCAACGTATAGCTATCACATGTCGTATGATGAGGACTGTCGTAACACGTGGTTGGGGAAGGGGATGGAATAAAGTGATGAATTAACATGATACTGATCCCCAAAAAAGATAATATTTATAAGAATTATTTGGTCGAACGTACAAAAATGGACATTTGCAACCAACAAAGTTCATGTTATGTACTATTAATTTTGTAGAGGCCTCGATAAAAAGAGCCAGAATACAAACCTAATCTTTCCTTCACCTAATATATCACATACATACACAAAATGAGGCATAAGATAGCATATATTAGGCCTAAGGTTCTTTATTTATCCCATGGACATGTTATGTGAGGTTCTTTAGTTACGTTTTATTTCTTTAGGTTGATATTTAGGATAATTAAATAACACCTGAATTTTTGGAGGGTCCATCAGTATTTTTCCATGTTTGACAAAATTGTTGTTAAGTGTTATCATTACTGGAGAATGGGCTGCACAATGACCCATACCTGTACATTGGGGTCGGCAAGCTATGGGCAGTTACTATGGATGCAATTTGGCTCGTAAAATTACTAATTTAATCTTTAGGACTCTTGATTGTTGAAAGAAATCATCTTATGTCATACCATCCTGATTCAGATTGTGTTATAATAAATATATTGATTTATTTCACAACAATGTTTCATTTGCTATGTGTGGGAAATCCCCGCCGAAGTCTAACACTATTCCATCAGTCGTATGAAGACAAATTTCTGCTGATAATTTGTTTTGTTTATCCACGGGACAGTTGCTACCTCGAATTCCACACCATATGCTAGATAATTTATTATATCAGCTTTCACCTGAAAATATTATTCTGTTGTAAAACAGCGAACACTTAATATTAGAAAAATTTGATACTGTAACTTACTGTTCGGGTACTTTAAGGGAAGTATGAGGAAAAATTCTAACCCTCAAGGAACCCTAAATAATACACTGTTACACCGGAATCACGAAGTAGATCGATGACCCTCGATATTCAACCAATTACATTTAAACTAAACAATGGTGACGCAATTAGGGAAGCCCACATATATTACTAACAATAACATAAAGTAATAAAGAGGAGTCACACTTAATAAATTAAGTGATTGTAAATAAGTTGTCCGTACAAGTTAAAGGATCAATTAATGACTGATAAGCCAATAAAAAGTGACAGAAAGCTCAGTGTTGTGTTGCGCGTCACCAGAAGAGACGACGTGTTTTTGCGTAGTGATCTCTTGACATTTTGCACTTCCTTTTGAATTTCATGATATTCATAGGCTATAAACGGTCCTCGTGTCTGTTTATAATATAAGAAAGCGCGAATGGTACTTCAGACATGGGGAAATATAGCCAACGAGAGAGAGAGTTAACTCCAGTTTACACCATTGAACACTTGGCGGGCCTCGCCAATACAAAATATGCCAGACAAATAAACTTCGATTTAAAATATTTAGCAACATCGTTCCAAAACCAGTTGTAACGAAGGAGAAAGTCCAACACGAGATTAGTGTTGTATTCTAGTATTAGTTTTCCTAATAGACACCAGCCTTTCAAATGTTAGAAACCAGCCTTTCAAATGTTAGTGCTTATATCCTTTTTGCGTCTATAATGCGTCTGAAAGCAGGATTAATCATAATATTAAGAAATATTCTTCTGGTATAGCTGTGGCGTGTAGGCTAGTAATTATGCGGAATTAAAGCCTTAAAATGCTCCTACTCTTGGTCGTTCCCACAAAGCAAATTTTCTCACATTGTGCATAATGCTTCCAGTTCAAGTATATTATTAAAGTCAAACTCAGAAGCTCACTTGGTCCAAGGGAACTGGACCTAAGTACAATCGGTCTCATTGAACATAGGTCAGACCATGGCCGTCTTGGTCTGATGACCATGCAATGTAGGCCCTGGGCAAAACAATGTAGGCCCTGAGCAACGCAATGCACTGGGATCCCTAACTAGATGATGGGCAATGGGGGCCCCCTACCCAGATGATTGGCACTGTTGCCCCCTACCAAGAAGATGGGCACTGGGGCCCCTTACCAAGAAGATGGGCACTGGGGCCCCCTACCAAGAAGATGGGCACTGGGGCCCCCTACTAAGAAGATGGGCACTTGGGCCCCTACTAAGAAGATGGGCACTGGGGCCCCTTACCAAGAAGATGGGCACTAGGGCTCCCTACCAACAAGATGAGCACTGGTGCCCCCTACCAACAAGATGGGCACTCGGGCCCCTTACCAAGAAGATGGGCACTGGGGGCCCCCCTACCAACAAGATGAGCACTGGGGCCCCCTACCGAGAAGATGGGTACTGGGGCCTCCTACCAAGAAGATGGGCACTGAGGGCCCCCTACCAAGAAGATGGGTACTGGGGCCTCCTACCAAGAAGATGGGTACTGGGGCCTCCTACCAAGAAGATGGGTACTGGGGCCCCCTACCAAGAAGATGGGCACTCGGGCCATCTACCAAGAAGATGGGTACTGGGGCCTCCTACCAAGAAGATGGGCACTCGGGCCACCTACCAAGAAGATGGGCACTCGGGCCATCTACCAAGAAGATGGGTACTGGGGCCTCCTACCAAGAAGATGGGTACTGGGGCCCCCTACCAAGAAGATGGGCACTCGGGCCATCTACCAAGAAGATGGGTACTGGGGCCTCCTACCAAGAAGATGGGCACTCGGGCCATCTACCAAGAAGATGGGTACTGGGGCCTCCTACCAAGAAGATGGGCACTCGGGCCACCTACCAAGAAGATCGACACTGGGGTCCACAACCCAGATGATGGGGCCCCGCCCGTCCGCTAAAGTGCAGGATTATCCTCAGGTAGTTACGCACAAATTATTTTTAGTATAAATATTATTTGAAATGGGAATTGAATCCCAGGCCTTTCTAGCGGGTGGCCAAGTAATTATCCACTGTGCCAAGAGATCTCTCAGGAACAATATGGCAGCATGGGGCCCCTAGAATAGTGAGGCCAGGGGCAACTGCCAAGTGTGCCTATATGTTAATTCAGTACTTCCATGTTAGTGCTGGATTCGAAACTTTCGTGTAACTGATTCTTGTAATTATTGCAACACATGTATGAATAGTGATAATTAATCATGTTTATAAACAATAAAATATTGTATTATATATCAAAGAGGTATATAATTTTTTCTTGTGTATACTGCCTTTCCCTTATCCTGATATATGACACGATGACCACACCGTTATCCTTCTGCCTGTCGTGACTACTGTCTTGAAGCATCTATCCCGCTCCATCCTCCTTATCACTGCCGCTAATCCTTCCCAAGGTTCATTTTCTTTATATAAGGGGCGTTTAACACACACACACGAGGGTCCTGCTCGGGCCAACGCTACAAATACAGAACAACAGGTGTGCAAATCCAAAAAGTAGGCGAGCTAAAAAAATTTACTTGTTAATATGAACCCATGAAGGTGAAGCGTATAAAAACCTGAGGAACTGAAACGTGTTTGTGTGTGAGATCAGATGACCACTTATGTATAAACCCGCACACAGGCATCTTTAAATTCTGGAAAAACTAAACCTTGAACTATACTCTAAAGGTTCAAGTTGCTCTCTCGCGCGGGGGCGGCGGCAGGTGTTGGTAAACACTCAGGAGGTTGGCTGCACCGAGTGTCGTGCCGGTAGAGGCTGGTGGTGTCAGGGAATTCGTCTGGTAGAAACTGGTCAATGGTAAAATTGTGGTAAAGTTGTCTGACAGATTAGAATAATTAGCCAGGTGTGGCTGACTAAAACTCGCTCATTGTCAGCCGTTTAAAACCCGGATCCGCTGTGCCAAAACATCCTGTCCTCAGGGAGAAGGTACACTGCAGGTGATCACTTCAAAACAACTACATAATTTGTGATATTATCTGCTTCTTATCCAAGGTTTGGTTATGTTAGGGTTAGATTAAATTATGTTTTATTACATTTGGTTACTTTAATACAGTGTATTATTCTCAAACATGTGAAATATGAAATTCGAAAACTATTTGACTTCTTCTAGAATTTCAATTAGTGAAAACCAAATTCTTCAACCATTTAAAAGAAAATGAGTTAAGCATGGACTTTTTATATTTTAAACCAACAATTTATAATACAATAAAGTTATAATGAAGATATTCTCTGTTTAGGACAAAGGTTTACTTGCCAGTTTACAAGAAGACTATTATTTGAACCGTAATATGTTTTCAGACCATCACACATATCTAGATAACTAACTATCCAGTTGGTGTGAGAATGGGTTTGTTGTCTGGTGGTAATCCCTTCACCATGAGCACGGGCGCGACAAAAACATATCAAGGACAAGTTGAGTGGACAATAGTCTATATTCCTCTCCAATAATATTCAAAACAAAGTTGCAATACGCTAATAAAGTTACTCAGAATTCTATCGATGAAGGTATTGATCGTACTAAAATTGACAAATGATACGATTAAAATGGAAATCAATACGCATCCGTCGGTATCGAACTTTGCAGTCGGTTTGAAGGTCGGGGAGGGTCCAGGCTGCCTGTTTTGGCTGCGTGATACTTCACTCCTGCAGGCGTCTATACCTTCACTCTTGTAAGCTTCACTCATGCTTACATGGTTATAATGAGGAATATGATAATAATGAGGGATATAATTATAATGAGGGATACAATTATAATGAGGGATGTGGTTATAAAGCCGGTTATAATGGCTACAAATAAAAACTCGCCTATAAAGAAGTAAATGTCCTTCATTAAATGAGTTTTTGCCATTTTTGAAGTGGCTAAAACGGTATTTTTTTGTGCTTGTCCTTGTTTTTTGTTTTTTATAGCGTAACACGCTTGGGTGTTCGCCGTTGTCCTCCTGGCGTGACGCCTCCTTGTGGCTTGCTACCTCAGGTAAGGGAAAGCCCATCTTCACTATACACTGTCTTCATCACTGTACCAC